GGAAGATCTTGAGATATACCAAATATGGACTTTGAACCAGTCAACTTAAAATGATTGGCCAAAGGATACCTGGAAGAAATGCCCCATAAAAGTGATTTAAACTGCCACAAGGGCGCTACTCTCTGAGTCTGCTCGTGTGCCTATCCACACATACTGTACTCTTTTTTTCTTAATAAATACTTTACTTGTTTCATTACTTTCTGTCTTTGTGGGAATTCTTTTTCTGCAAAGCCATAAGGCCAGGGCCTTGTCACTGGCCACTGGTCTAGTGGCTAGGATTTGGTGCTGTCACTGCCGTGACCCGACCTCAATCACTGGCTGGGAACTGAAACCCTGCTTCAAGCCGTTGCAGGCCGAAGCCACCCGAGATCAGATCCACTAAAAGTTATATATGTATATTATCTAATTATTTTATAATGTTCATGTAGCCCTTATTGTATACCACCTTGCATTAGCCTTTCACATACCTATCATGTAATATATCTATGGGTATATTATGGGGGTACCCAATTACATATATGTATATAAACAAATTGAAGACTTAGAAACATGTTGGCTGCATCTCACCTCTCTCCTGTTGGAACCATGGTGCCAGGTTTCCTACCTGTCAAATTTCAGTTATTGCTTAATTTTATGGAGAGTTGTTTGAGTATGTGTTATATATCCAAATAGAGTGAACATTTACTGATATACCACACAATACCTAGCACGACATCAGCACATACTACTTATTAGATTTATTATTTGCTAACAGTTACATTTTGAAAATGAGAGGAGGGATTACTTTTTTTAAAAAAGCACTTGAAAATAATGGTTATAAATTTTGAAAAGCTTAAAAAAGAGACTTTCCGTTATCAACCTCAGGAACAAGGTTCTCCTTACGCTTCTAAACCTGTTCATTTTCCCTCCAAATATTTATTGAGGTTTCTGTGGTTTTGGTCTTGAATTTACAGTGGTGAACAAAACAAATATGGAACTTTTAATCTTGCACAGACTCAGAGATTAAGAAAATAAATCAATTATTTAGGCAAAGAACAAGAACAAATAAATAATAAATAAAAGGGGGTACATCTTTAAATTGGATGGGGTTAGGAAAGGCTTATCTTAGGAAAATATATTTGACACAGGAATTGAAATTTGAATGGAACAGAGGTGCATTCAGAAAAGGGGGAAAAGGAGCCCAAATTGAAATTAAACAATATGCAGACCATGCAGATCTTTTTAGACAAAGAGTGTGAGAAAAAACAACTAATTCTGAGATTCTATGGTATAATACTATTTTTCCTCGTGTGTGTATGTGTGTGTGTGTGTGTGTGTGTGTGTAAGTGTGTTCCCTATTACTCGAGGTATGAATTTTGGCTTGAAAAACACCTTCAGATGTATGTTTATGTTTTAAAAAAGTGATGTATGTGAATACTATCCTTGTTTTCAAGATGTACTGTAACCAGATATGAGGTGTTTAAATGTTGAAGGAAAATCTAATTTACGCCCATTTGGCAGGTCACATCACAGCTCCAAAGATGCTCCTAATTTTTTCCTTTGTTATGATATATGTGGATTTTGCCACATTCCTCAAATTGATGAAGACTTTGAGCACTCTTGGTGGTTCATGAACATTTTAATAATGATATTTGATAGAATGTTTTGACTCCCGCTAGAACTTGTTAAATTAATTAAACAAGGAGGCCCTTAGACTGAGGTGGTTCTAATGCCTTGCATCTATGAGTAAGCAAACCAAAACCTAAGCCTGTACATGCCTCAAGGTTATACATTGAAACCTAAGGGCAGTCAATCACAGACAGCCAACTAGGCTTTAACCTGTAGCCAATCAATAATTTCCTTGCTACGCTTCCACCTTTTGTCTGTAAGTCTTTCCCCAGCTCACATTGGAGGAGCACTTCTACCATTTCCAGTTTGGTGCTGCTCGACTGGAATCAATTTTTGCTCAAATAAACTCTTTGCCTCAATTTATCTTTTAGCATACTTAATTAATGCAATCAAATTAGAATATATATATTGAACACTGGCAAGAACAAGGTCTTGTATACCAAGCACCAGACCCTGTTCAAGAATCCCCATTAGGTCTGTAAGTTTTTTCTTTTATGCCTCTAGTATTAGAAACATCATACCTCCCAAGTCTGTTTTATCAACTCTAGTTTGAAAGTTAGTGTAAAATCTGGTTTCTTACGTTAGTGTAAAATCTGGTTTCTTATAAATGCCACTTATTTTGCCCTTGGAGCAAAACAGAACAAGTCTACTTTTTAACAGAATTTCAAACATATGTATGCAATTCAATTTCTTCCTGATTCCTTTCCTAGTTAAACATAGTTTTATCCCTTTTGTCTCTTACTCATGAAATGGTCTATCCATCACTGAGTAGATCATCTTTTTTTTTTTTAATATACAGCCCTCCTTTTATTTTTTTTAATAATTTTATTTTATTTTTTTATACAATGATTTGGAATACTGTGCATTTTAAATTTATTTATTTATTTTTGGCTGCGTTGGGTCTTTGTTTCTGTGCGAGGGCTTTCTCTAGTTGTGGCAAGCAGGGGCCACTCTTCACCGCGGTGCGCGGGCCTCTCACTATCGCGTCTTCTCGTTGTGGAGCACAAGCTCCAGACACGCAGGCTCAGTAGTTGTGGCTCACGGGCCCAGTTGCTCCGCGGCATGTGGGATCCTCCCAGACCAGGGCTCGAACCCGTGTTCCCTGCATTGGCAGGCAGGCAGATTCTCAACCACTGCACCACCAGGGAAGCCCTAGATCATCTTCTTATATCCTAGACACTCTACACTTGACCCCATAGAACTACCTTTTGCAATCACTTTATATCCTCCAATTAGCACTCACAGCCCTTGAGTACTTGTTAATTTCCTTCTCAGAGAAAATTTAAATATTTTTTGACCCCTAGAGAGCTTTGCCTGCTTTAGAAATTTTGTGAGCTTCATCAGAAAAAAGTTCTTCCTCGTTTTTTTTTCTTTCTTTCATGTTATGATCTAATATGTTCACAGATTCTATCAAGTTGAGATTTCTGGCAGAGATATTTTGTCAACAGTTATATCTAAAGAAGTAAAGGCAGTATTTCCCAGAAAAATGTATTTCACTTGTCTTCCAGTGATTGAAATCTTATTAGACAGAGATGGTTTTCTGTAGAATGGTTTGAGAAGGAGATGGTTTTTATAGGCCTATTGTCAATGGGCATAAATTCTTTATCCAGAAGACAATAACATATTGTGATTGGATTAAGTCATTGGCTTGTAAACTGAGCTTAGCAGGCACCCTGAGAGTTCCTGAGTTACCCACACAGGTACCATGGGGGGCTGTGTATACAAGGTATGATACCTGGCTCAACTAGGGGATGCTCTGCTTTTATGTGTGTGTGTGTGTGTGTGTGTGTTTTATATTGGGCTTTGTCATAAAAGTTCATTGAAGAGTAGCTAAAAATTATTTTAAAAACCACTGGAACCTTCTAAATATTTTGGATGCTATCTTAGGATTTTTTCTTATGAATAGTAGAATATTCTCATTAAGCCTCTTGCTGGGGCTGGAATCTTTGGTGGCATTGGAATTTTACTTATGACAATTAATGAAGATGCCACCTACAAGGGCTAATAACACTAAATGAAAAGAAGGATCAAGAATAGGTAAATTCAGGAGCTGCTAGGACCCTGTCGTCATGCAAATGTCCTTGACAACAAAGAAAGGGGAACGAAATTACGGTTCCTATGGCTGTATAGAAATGGAATTGTTCCTATAGAGAATGCTTTCTAAAGCTTCGCTAAGGGTGTGCAGCTCTTTAAATCAGCAAGCCCCTTTTCTTTTCAATCACAAAGTGGAAAAAAAGCACCTCTTTTCTCTTTTTCTCTTTCAAGAAATCCAAACTATAAGTATTGTTGAGTCACCTCATCTCTCTTTGAAGAGGGAAATGCCATCCCTATGTTGGTTGAATGTAGAAGATTTATGAAGAAAAGAAGAGAAATGGATCATAACAGCATTGTATTTAATATTTTCTTCATTTTGCAATGTTCTGCCTTGCTTGACATGTTTACTTAAACACATATTCCTGGCTCAGAGTTGCTCTCTGAACACCACGGTGCATAATTAATGTCAAGGTGGAAAATGATTATGCTGGAAATGCTGTTCCCTCTCCTCTGAAAAGTATTTTTAAAGCCAATTTAGGTCACACATGGTTCAGTCTTTTAGAATTTTTTCTTAACTGTTCAGCTGAAGAGAATGCCTCAGGGCGTTTATTATCAGACATTCCAGTGGGCTCTCTGTCCTGGGGTGTGTGAGTGTGCTGGAGGGTGGGTGCAGTTTCTCACGGTGTGGCGGTGGGAGTGATTGTTGTAGGAGAGAGGAACCCCAAAAAGTTTATTTCGTTTTAGGCCTCAGACATATAAGCAAAACGACAAAGAACACAATTTAGCTAAAAAGCATGTGACACATAGTGCACTGTTTCGAAGCAGAAAACCGTTCTTATTTTCCTCACTCCAATAAGATTCTTAGGTTCACATGACAAGAAACATGTCAGGATAGGAACCAGATACAAAATACATTTTTAAAATAAATAAATAAATAATTAATTAATTTTGGGCTGCGTTGGGTCTTCGTTGCTGCGCCCGGGCTTTCTCTAGTTGCAGTGAGCGTGGGCTACTCTTCGTTGCGGTGCGCAGCCTTCTCGTTGCGGTGGCTTCTCTTGTTGCGGAGCACGGGCTCTAGGTGCGTGGGCTTCAGTAATTGTGGCTCTTGGGCTCAGTAGTTGTGGCTCACAGGCTTCAGTAGTTGTGGCACATGGGCTCAGTCGTTGTAACTCATGGGCTCTAGAGCACAGGCTCAGTAGTTGTGGTGCACGGGCTTAATTGCTCCACAGCATGTGGGATCTTCCTGGACCAGGGCTGGAACCCACGTCCCCTGCTTTGGCAGGCGGATTCATAACCACTGAACCACCAGGGAAGCCCCCAAAATACATTTTTAAATGGACCATTTCTTTTGTGTTCAGGTGTCCTTTGCTGTTCTTTCTGATTCCTCTGCTGATGGAGGAGTAGGCTGACAAAGCTTGCAACAGCAGTCAATGGGGTCGACACGATAGAAGATTCTGAAGCTTTTGGGGGCATCTATAGTCACTAAGACTGGAGTCAGATGTGCTGTTCTACAGGTGAGAGGTCAGTGTTACTGGTGGGAAAAGGAAGAAAATGGAATTTCCATTAGATTTATCATCTGTACAGAAGATACACCAACTTAGAGTAGAAGAGCACAAGATGGCACCCCCTCCTTTCTCCTAATTCTTCTTCCCAATGTGGGGATTTGCTCGGAACTCCAGAGTTGATATGGAAGGGGATCAGAATATGCCACTGGCATATGGATTATTTTGAGGTGAAGGAAATCGAGAATCAACAGGCACAGAAAGAAGCCTTCTTGAAGTTTTCCTTAAGCAGCAACTTCTGGGAAATAAAGCTACCATAAATTCCTTCTTCAGGGCAGATATTCCCCAGAAGGAGGAATGAGAGTGAAACCTACCCCACATCCCTTCTCTGGGGGAGTTTTATGGCCCTAAATGAGACAGAAAGTCCATTCATGTTTGTATAACAGACATTACAAATTTTCTTATCTCTCGATTGTTCTTCTAAAAACCCATTTATCAGGCTTCCCTGGTGGCGCAGTGGTTGAGAGTCCGCCTGCCGATGCAGGGGACACGGGTTTGTGCTCTGGTCCGGGAAGATCCCACATGCCGCGGAGCGGCTGGGCCCATGAGCCATGGCCGCCAGGCCTGCGTGTCCAGAGCCTGTGCTCCGCAACAGGAGAGGCCACAACAGTGAGAGGCCCGCGTACCGCAAAAATAAATAAATAAATAAAATAAAAACCCATTTATCTTTCGTTGAAAAAACCCTATTTGTCCTTAAAAGCATCTTCTCTCCCCACTACCCTCCTTTCCTTTACTAAATTAGGTATATAAGTCTCTAATTTCAACCATTTAAGAAGCCAGCTACTTCTTTTGTTGGTTCCTAAGTGCTACAGATAAGCCCTTTTCTGTTTGTCTTTTGTCAGTTTAATTTTCATACCCCCATTACTAAATCTAAGAGGGTAGAGAAAAAAACTTTCCTGTCTTATACCAGCTTCCCAACTTCATCACATCATCACATAATACACACCATATTTCCACACATTTCTCTTAAATTGTGTATGAACACAATAAATATTCCTTGTGTACATGCACCATCTTAAATAGGTCTTAAATAGGTAATTAAGAAGCAAAGTTTAAGAAAAGGATGCTTCTGTAAGGGATTTGAGGAGACAGTGCTTCAGGTAAAACCTGAAAAGGAATGAGGAAAGTAGGATGGAGTAGGGGAAAAAGCTCTACAAAGATGCTGATTCCACTGAAGCCTAGCCTGAGCCTGGTCCCATAGGGAGCTATGGACCATGGCACCACATGCTTGTCCCACCTTGAAGCAAGGTAGCTAGTTGTTTTATATTCCATATCAGTTAGTCACTGGCTGTGGGCTTCGCTGGAAGGAGACCATAACCTCACAAGCATTTCCAGGAGGGTGGCTCCAGTCAGCCTCCTTAGGGCAAATCTCTTGAGAAGGATGCATCTGTGAGCTGCTGAGAGCCAAACTCACAACAGTTGGGAGATGAAGGAAATCTTGCCAGGGCACCAACAGCATCTGCTACGGCATACAAAATATCCATCTTTTATAGTAATTTGTTTATGACAGGATACTGCAGGACTGATGGCAGTTAAGTGAAAGATCTTTGTGTGAAGGGAATTATTGGAAATATAGGGCAGGGGTCAACAAATATTTGCTGTAAAGGGCCGGATAATAAATATTTTAGACTTTGAGGTCCAGATGGTCTTTGTTGAAACTAGTCAACTTTGCTGTTATAGCATAGAAACAGCCATAGGTAATGTATAAACAAATGGGCAAGGCTGTGTTCCAATAAAACTTTATTTACAAAATCAGATGGGGGCCTAGATTTGGCCCATAGACTGTAGTTTGCTGACTCCTGATATAAGGGATAAGACAGAAAACAATCATTTGTGTTTCCAATTTGTCTACCCTCTTAAAATAGAATTAATTTTTCATTTCAAGTAAAAAGCTTATGACTAACTTATTTTCCAATTTTGGTTAAGAGTACAGGCTTTACAGTTAAAAGATCAGGATTCCACTTTTTCCACTTTCCAGACAATCAATTTCACAGGGTCATGTTGAGGAATAAAGAAAATGTATAGAATGCACTTTTAATATGGTGGTTAGCACTTAGTGTGTGCTTAGTAAATAATATTTCGTTACCATTATTGTTGTCCCATGGAATATTGTTTTATAGTTACTTTCCTGGCATTTATCACTATTTTTATTCAGTGTCTGATTTATTTCTGAGGTATGATGAGATTGAAAATAAAGTTTTTCAGAATCAATATGACTACACAAGGAAGGTCTGATTTCTTTCATCAAGTTGACCCAAGACCAACATGCATGCTTTCTGATTTCCTAGTTTCCCCCTCTCTTGCTCAGCAGAGAGAGATGTAATAAGGATTATAAAATAGATCCTCATCTAGAGATGGAATTGAGGTTGTGGAGGAATTAAAATGGATGGGAGTCTGGTAGAAAATCTGACATATACATGGATGCTATTTGGTGTAACAAAGAATTACCAGAGGAGGGAAATAGGATGACCTGGGATATCACCTCGACTTGGCCATTCCCATGATCACCACTTGCCTCCGTTGTTCACTGAATGCCTGAACAAGTTTTTAGCTCCTTTGGGTGTAAGTCAAAACAGCTTTCACTTGTTTCATTTAGTTTTCATTATAGGATGGAGGCAAGCCTTGCACTGGGGGCTTGATTTAAAACAGAGCTGTCTCTCTCTATTTCTCAGGCAGGAAAAAAATGTGAGCAAAAATTACTCTTGTCTCTAAGGAGCCTGTGGAGTTGGCCCCTGTTCTGGAGAAGAAGCTTGGAAGGCTCGGCACTGCTGATGTGGATTCATTGAGGAAGTGTGCTCATCAGAGTTAAGCCATCCATCATTACTCACTCGCCGGGCTTGTGCTTCCCAGACGACCACATAATGTCCAGGTTGGACATACAACTCTGCATCAGCCCAGGGGAAACAAATGGCACCCCTTTAGTAGATTAAATGGATTGGGCCATTCAAGGGAATCTGTTTTATGGAATCACTTGGTTTACTGAATAGCCTCATGTTACAGGTAAATGAAATCCTACAGCAAAGGAGCCAAGCCTGCATTTTAGTTATTTTTCCAGAAGTAGAGCTATTTGTTGCCAGAAAAAGTTCAGCTTCATGATAATGGGGAACACTGGACCGTGAGACCATTGGACTAGCAGTATCCTTTGCATTTCAAATAAAATCCTGTTTTCTCATCATGGCTGTAAACGTCTGTCTCATGCTACTTATTTCTATATCCATATGCTCCAGCCACATTGGCTTTCTCTTTGTCCTTTAAATTTGTTAAGTGTATGCCATTCCAGGGACCTTGCATGTGCTGTTTCACCGTCTAGAATACCCTTTCAGGTCTTCACAAGACTGAGTCATTGTGATCATTGATGAAGCACAAATATCGCTTTCTTGGGGGAGCTCTTTGCTGACAACTCCCTCTGAGGAGGCATCCACATCACTCTCTGATATATTATCCTGAATTATTATCTTTATTAAACTTTTCATTATGTAGGACTCTCTTATTTACTTGTTTATTGTTTAACAAGTTTTTTTAATTTATTTACTTTTATTTATTTACTTTTTTGCGGGACGCGGGCCTCTCACTGTTGTGGCCTCTCCCTCTGCGGAGCACAGGCTCCGGACACGCAGGCTCAGTGGCCATGGCTCATGGGCCCAGCCACTCCGCGGCATGTGGGATCTCCCCGGACCGGGGCACGAACCCGTGTCCTGCATCAGCAGGTGGACTCTCAACCACTGCGCCACCACGGAAGCCCTGATCCTCCCTTTTAAAGTGTAAGTTTCATGAGAGGCTGTCCTTTCTCACTGTGTCTTCACCTTCTAGACAATGCCTGTCACAAGGTGATTTTTAACTAGTATTTCCTGAAAGAATGAATTAAATGCATCACATAATCTGAATCATGTTCCAAATGAGTCCTGTAAAAATTGGAGATTTTCATATTCTTGCTGGGTCTCAGTTTTCTTTAAATGAAGGGAATGGAAAATATTAAAGAACTTATATACTTGTATTTTATGAATCTATGGGGATTTTTCTTTTCACTGACTTCAAATTTTGCTGGCCATACAAAAAAAATTGTAATATTGGAATCGGGAATTAGTACTCTGTATATTTCTGTGGCTATGTCCGTACAAGGTCAAAATCACTAAATGATTCCAACAAATGTGTTTTTGTGACATCACAAAAAGTATATTTTCAGGTTATGTAGACACAGTTCAAATGAATGGTTAAAGAAAAGAGTAAACTAGAAGAGTTGGCCTTGGAAAACCTCAGATAAGAGATACGAATATTACTTTCCCCCATCGTCAGTAGATGATTTTCCATTGAGAAAATCTTTAGTGATGATAGTGAAATATGACACGCTCGTTTGGGTTTATGTCAATAACATTTAAGAAATCACCAGCATTGCCTTCGATTTAAGTTTTTTTGAAGACGGTAGAAAATCTCTCCTAACACACATCCCCCCACACAGCACCAGCCCTATCATTTATCTTGAAGATTGCACTTTTATCAGCAGGATGTTAAATTCCTCTTCCTAGAAGACTGTGGTTGTCTCGCCCAATTGCTCATTTTTGTGCTGAGATCACATGCTGTGTGCTGGTGCTTGATATTATTTGATCAGTCTATTCATTCACGCTTCATTCCATGCACATAACAGTGTGTATAAGTTTAGAAACCAAAAGAAGAGTTTTTACCTGTGTATTTCATTTTTGCTCACAAATGTTTATCAAGTGTCTACTATGCCCTGCACTTTGGGGAATGTAGCCAAGAGAGTAGACAACATGGACCCTGCCCTGATTTATATTCCATATTAGATGTTACAAGCATTCATTAAACCCTTACTGTTTACTAGGCATCAGCTGGGCACTTTTCCTTTAATTATGTCCTTTATTTCTAAAAACAATCATGCTTTATAAGTGTTATTGTCCAAATCTGGCAGATGGGAAAACTGAAGTTTAAAGGTTCTTGCAATTTTCCCAAGATTAAATTTATGTCAAAGCTAGTACTTAAAATTAGTTTTCTGATTCCAAGTCCAGTGCCCACTGTAGAAAGACAAATGACACACAGCATTAATGAAATGACTATAGTACAAGGCAAGTTACTTTAAATACTGCAGGGGAGGAAAAAACATTTACTTCTATATCTCCACTTTAAGGAGATGAGTGTATTAGGTTTCTCCAGGGAAACAGAACCAATTAATTGGTTCTGAGTATTAATTAATTAATTATAAGGAATTGGCTCACACAATTATGGAAGCCGACAAGTTCTGAGAGATTTGCAATGGGCAAGCTGGTGACTTAGAATAACTGAAGGCATGAGTTCCAGTTGGAATGCCGACAAGCTTGACAGCTAGATAGAGCTGATGTTTCAGTTCAAGGCTGAAGGCAGGAAAAATCCTTTGTCTCAGTTCAAGGCAAAGAGGAATTCTCTCTTACTTGTGGGAGGGTCAGCCTTTTTGTCCTATTCAAGGCCTCACTGATTGAGTGAGGCCCACACACATTAGGGAGGGCAGTCTGCTTTACTCAGTCTAACCATTCAGAGGTTCATTTCATCGAGAAACACCCTCACAGACACATCCAGAATAATACTTGACCAAATGTCTAGGCACTCTGTGGTCCAGTCAAACTGAGATACAAAATTAACTATCACAATGGGTTTGCCCTACTATCTCTTGATATGAATTAGTTGCTTCTGCATTAAAATTCTTATGTCAAGATTCTTTTTTAATTGAGGCAGATGTTTGCTTTTGTTTCTTTTACACTGCCCAGCATGCATTCCCCTTTCACACCAGTTCTTGATATCCCTTTAGGTAATTACCTCTCTTCGTTTGCCTGTTCTCAGGGGACTCTAGACATCCAGGTGCCCCACTTTTCTCTACTTGAAGGGCAGACATGTGACCCAAGGTAATCTCAACAGCCTCTCTCTGGCACTGTGAACCTTTTTTTTTTTTAATTTTTTTTATTGTGGTAAAAGTCATATATAAAACATACTATTTTAACCATATTTAACTGTGCAGTTCGGTGGCACTAAGTACATTCACATTGTTGTGCAACTCTCATGATCATCCGTCTCCTGAATTTTTTTACCTTCCTAAACTAAAACTCTGCACCCATTAACCATTAACTCCTCATTCCCTCCCCACCACCCCGTCCCCGACCCGGTGGCATCTACCAATGTACTTTCTAACTCTATGAAATTGACTATTCTAGGTACCTTGTATAAGTGGCACTGTGAATCTTGAGCAGAACAACACAAAGAGGGGAAAATGATTGGGTGTGAGTCTTTCAGTGGCAGAGTCTCTTTAAGTACTTCCCGCAACTTACATGTCTGGAAACTGCCACGTTTTAAGTCTGGTTCGTTGCTCTACCATCAGCATCCTTTAACTACATTTCCTTTTTGCTTAAGTTAGCTACATTTATTTTCGTTGCTTACCATAAAAGCACTCTATCATATAGAAAAGCATTATATGATTCCCTGCGCTTTTGTGTCTGGTCTCAGTGGTGATGAACATCGACTGTTTTAGATTTGCCACTGGGATGGATTTCCCAAAGGATTACGTATTCATCTGAAGCCTGGACTACCACGGAGAATTCTGTATCAAGTCTATTTTTTGAAGTGCTTTCATTTTTACATTGTCAATTTTGGCTTCCTTTGACTCCTATGGTCCCCACATCCTGAGGCTGGGACTAAAGCCATTATTTTTGCTTAATCTTAAAATCTTCTTATACTACTCACTTTTCAAGAGGGATTCCTGGAGTCATTCAATCTTCAGTGTTGCCTGCTTTAACAAGGAGTAAAACGACTGACTATGCAGCACTTTTCCTGCCACCTTGGTAGAGTTTCTGTATGGTAAGAACTCATTACCAAGCCTCTCCATCTCTGATGAAAAAGCAAAGACCACAAGAGTCTAAGTGACTAGATGGAAAAGTAACAGCATGGAAGAAGATCCAGGAGCTAAACTCAAGGTTTTCTCCCTTGTTGGCTTTAACTACCTGGCCGTGTAGTGTTGCTCTCTCTCTCTGTCTTTTGAACACTGACCTGCACTGCTCATAGAATGCTCTGGTGTGTCTCCAACTCAGACTCAAGCATTGATATCCATGAATGCATTCTAGAACTGGATCGGGAACACGGGCCAGGAATCAGCAACAACATCTGCTTTAGAAAACCACATCATTGTTGCCATTTCTCCTATTGTTCCACTTTGCCTTGGCAGATGAAAACGGTCCCCTTTGACACTTTCATCTGGTTCCTTTAGAGCCTTACAAATCCCCAAATTGCCATCTGGATTCTCTCCTATTGCTATCAAGTGGATCTCACCATTACTGCTTTTTTGTATTCAGCATCTCATGCCTCTGTGCCCTTGTTCTCTTTGGCTCATGTTTTAGCAGTGTCATACTCAGTACAGTCTCATCCTTCCTTTTCTTTTAAGTGTGTAGAGTGTGTCATGTGTAAACCTTCTGCTCTTACAGTCACATCAGCAAACACTTACTGCTGCCTTTTATAACCCAAACCCGCTTTGTTATTCCCTTTACATTTCATGCCTCAGTGATTTCTAAGTTTCCCGCTGTATTACAAAAGCCTGTTCAGACACTTAATCCTTGTATCCACTGGGACATCACATACTGCTAAGGTCAGAATTTTCCTTTCTGTGAGATTGTGCAGTTTTACTCCTTGAGATATATCATGTGCTTAGGGTTCAAGCTTTAAAAAAATTCAAGTAACTTGCCTCCCTTATTATGGCAATTGAACATTTTCACAGATTTTTCTGGCCCATTTAGAAAATGAATGAATCAGATGCTTAAAAGTCAGTGCTTCTTCATTGTACCTTTTTCACCCTTGGCTTAGATCCTACAGCATCTATAATACATTTATCCTTTTAGAGTATACATTTGTGTTGTGTTTTCATTTTCAGAGACTACTTTTGGTATTTTAAGTCAAGCATATGAAGCACTTTCATATAAACATTTCAGCAATCAGATTTAACTCATAATTTTTATCTTTATACTCCCAATATAGGAATGAGTTCTTCTTCTCAACTCCACATTTCTATTCTCATAATGATGGTGAGAAAATATTGTTTTCTTGGAAGTGACTGTGGGAGGTCAGAAGGTGCCCAAGTTTTCCAGATTTGTCTAATCCCTTGTAGACCTTCACACTAATTATAATAATCCCATCTTCTCTTTTCCAAGGTTAATTCTTC